TATCATTTCCTAAACTTTATAACCGAAAACTATTTGTGCTTCATAGAATATAAATCCCACAACTACCATGTATATTTGTTTAAATGAAATATATAGAATGAAATAACACATTTTAAGTAGAAGAATATAATAAAAAACATGATAAAACATTACAAAAGGAAATCCAATAAAGGATAGTACAAGCAATATTTGTTCTACATTCTCAAATTTGAGTGAAACAATAATTTCCAATGGTTTTTCATGCTGATACTTGAAAGTAGAAGAAAGATAATGTGATAAAAAGGAGAACAATTACTTACTGCACAAGAAATTCTTGAAGATTTCCCAAACTTCACAGCCTCATCTTGTATTTGTGTCGCCAACTCCCTTGTTGGTGAAAGTACCAATGCAGTGGGGCCCATTTTGGAGTTATTACCACAGCGCTTGAGGTGAACAAATGCTGGAATTAAATATCCCAATGTTTTCCCTGAGCCTGTTTTTGCAATGGCAACTATATCTCTACTTTGAAGAGCAATGGGCCATGACTGTGCCTGAATTGGAGTTGGGGCTGAGAAACCAGCATTTTGTACCTAAAAAAAGGAAAATCCAGGAGATTGGTTTTCTTTGTAACTTATACAGGAGTTAATGCCGGAAGAAGCATCATCCCTCATATGCAAGCCACCAATGCTTGCTGATGCAAGGTAGCGCATGAGGAGGCCTCTTCTTCCGTACAGACCAAGTGGCAGACTGAATCATGACCAACAGCAGTCCCAGCCACGAACTTGGATGATTCGGAAAGCCCTTCCAAAAACTTGGTCCACCATAAAGGGCGCTCCAAAGTCCAAACTAAATGCTAGCCCCACAAAAGAGGGCACCACACCGTACGACATTAGCTCCTCCCCAGGAGCAAATATCGCACCTACGACAAAAAAAAAAGTAAAGATGGCAAAAAAATTATGAGCCTGAAACTTAGAAATTGAAGCTTCAGGAATCAGATACTTGCACAAGGAAAATTTGGGTCAGATACCTATGGAAGCTGGGTACCCGCCTAACTGCCACTATTGAAGATAGATGAGAAAACAACAGAGAACAAAAGTTAATACCTCTCTCAGCACCTCCGGTGGAAAGCCACTAGAACCAAATGAAGCAAGAGGCGGTGGCACATTGTCTCCCTAGAAAAAATATGAAAGACCCTCAATTTTAGTGTAATTGAAACGAAATCCAAAAGTAGCAAATAGAAATCAATTATATGGAATTTTCCAAACATAATCTGGAAACATTTAATATAAAAACTTGTTTCGCCTGTGTGTATAGTAACTATAATAAAATAAGCAAATGTACAAATCATGAAACAGTAATGTGACATAATTATTAGCCATGAAACTACAAAATATATGCTTACAGTCACAGTTATTTCATGCCGACTTCGATAAGACTCAGGAGATAGCACAGCTGCAGCATCCGATGCCCCATGACCTTTGACAGAATAACTAACATTGGCAGCAGCATTTGTTCCAGTTGGCACACTATGAGAACTGTAACTTCCACCTTTGGAACTCTATACATGACGAAAGACATAAAGAATTAGCCCCACAATTAAACTATGATTGAGAAGATAAAGAGTTTATTTTCAGTATCACATTCCTTTTGCCTCTCTACCAACATAATGTATTATTCATTTCCTAGATAAATGTAACGCCCAAACATGTTCAGGTAAGGAAAAACACGGAACAGAATTGTTCAATTCATGAATTTATTGTTTTAGTACAACACATACTAGATTCGTCCCATTCCCCAATTGTAGTCATCTTCATATGGATATCATAATTAGTGATTTTAAATTAACTCAAACATTGATTAAACGTCACCGTTAGAATACCACAACCAGTTTGCATAAACCTATATGCAACTAACTACAAATAAAAAACTTCTGTGGCATAAGTCACGTTGAAAACAACAAGCAGCTAGCAACTACCAACTAGAAAACTGTATGCAACTAGCAACTAACTACATAATAAAATTTCAAAAAGCAAGAATAAAGTTATGGGTTGAAACCTGATTATTCCGTGAAGCATCATTTGACCCACCACTGCCATTTCTATCATACCTATCACTGAAATCAGGACTACGACCACGTTGCGACCCTTGAGACGTATGTTGAACCTGGACAGAAGAGCTAGGCACTGAAGAGGACTTTGGTGGGGCAGCTGAGCTCGATGGCCTCTCATACTGGGTGACATTGGTCTCGGGATTCCAAAAGTAAAGATACCCGGTCTTGCCATCCACAAGACCCTTCCATGGTTTAGGGAGTGTCGGATCTGGTGGTGCATACCGCGGACCCATTGAAGAGGCAGTTGCTGTGGCGGCCATAGCAAGGAAAACCCGAAATACAATTCTAACATCACAAAAACAATATAACAATTCAGTACTAACCTATTCATAAAATATAAATAATGAAACTAGTTATGAATAACTCCCAATTAAAATATATAGCAGTTTAATAAAAACTGTAAGAGCGATTCCATTCTCTTTAACCGTCACACTACCAACTTCCATTTAGTAACCAAATCAAACATTTATCCGAAAACCTAAATCTCGTAATCCCAGCGAATCTCGACTCGAATGTTTAAGAAAAGGAGTTAACAAACCCTAGTCTACACCTAATACCATTTACAGCTAAGAATTATCACCACAAACCAAAACAAATCCTAAAAGTAAAACTCCGAAGCTGTAAAAATAAAATCGTATCCGAAAAAACAAATCTAGCGAAAGCAAACGCATGCAGCATAAATCCAATAAACAAAGCCCTAGATTCAATCAAACTGCAAGCAGAGTTCCTGAACGAGCACAACCTACGTTTCGACACTCAGATCTGGTCAGTTAAGGAATGCTGCATACAACATCACGAAATTGACCTAGAAAATTGGAAGTGGAAAAAAGATGAAACGAGTCGAATCTTGTTATACCGATTGAAGAGCGAGAAGTGACCGTCGATTCCACGAGCTACGTCGGTCTCTCTCTCTCTGAGATTTGAACTCGAATTCGGGTTCGGGTCGAAAAGGCTCACGTCGCTTCGAAAATGCGACGAGGGTGAGAAGGAGAGGAGAAAGCAGAAGAATGAAAATGGTTATTTATACAAAACAGAGAAAGTGAAAGAGTTGGGTTAATGTTAGGTTTGGCGTGTGACCATGGTTATGAATTTGAACTATAACACTTGACCATGGTTAAGTGGCATGAACCACCAAGTTATTTAAGAATAAAGCATTATTTCAAAAACAAAATTCATATTTTAAAGGATTATTTTAAAGTATCATTATTACTCACTGATCTCACAAAGAAATTGACAAGAGAAGAAAATATTAAAAACAACTAAAAGAATTCTAACATATTTATAATATGTTTTGATAAAAAAAAATTAATAGGGTAATTTATTTTTAAAAAAAATTGAAATATTCAATAATAAAATATGTTATTTAATAAAGAATTCTAAAAGAAATTGAAATTTTATAATTTTATTCGCGTAATTAGATTGCTTAAAATTAAAAAATTCCAAATAAACTATGAATTGAAAGTTTTCTTATTTTCAAATTAATTTTGTATTCTTTGTAATCTTGTTTTAATGCAATTTTAGTTTTAGATGTAATCGATTTAACCACGACATTGTTCAAATAACTATTTTTTACTTCATACTGAGTTAGTTTTTTATGTCAATAGATGTTATTTTATTATTTAAGTTATTAGAAATATTTTTTAAACAACTTTTATTCCTTAGTCGATATTACTTAAAGTTATTTTTGTCAAGGGTGATTATTTTTTTTAGTGAGTTAATTATTTTAATTAATATCTGTCATCATTAATTTTTTGTCAATGTTTTTTTAATTAGTTGAGATATTATTTCTTATCAATGATTTGCTTTTACTAATGTCAAGGAGAGAAATTTTTTTCGTGGACGTAAATAAAGGAAGTTGGAAAAAATCCTTAAATATGAACATCATAAAAATAATTTTGGTCAATGTCAATTTAAATAATGCGTTCAACTAATTCAAAACAATATCGGTTAATATCAAGTGAGATTTTTTTTCATATAACAGTTAAAAAATAAGAACTATAATCAAAAAATAGTATCAACCAATCGACAATAAAACATAACTAATTTAAATTTTTAATAATTATTTATATTAATATTTTTAAAATTTGATAGTAATTGAAATATTTTATCTGAATAAGAAAAAAATTGTTAAATTTAAATTTTCTTAACCAAATAAAATATATCAATTCCAATTCAATATATTTTATTGATTGTGAAATTCATATTCCAAACACAAAAAGTTAAACATATGAGGTGATATTACACTCATTGATATCTTTGTAAAACGAGAGAATATTGGATTTTATCTCTAAATCAAAAAAAGAGTTATCATTCTAAATCTTAAAATCACTATTTATTGGTGCAAGATTCATTTTAAAATACATAAATATAGTTAATTTTATAGATCTTAATTTTGTTACTAGTATTCACAACTCAATTTTTATATAAGAAACATTGATGGATGCTAAGTTGTATTGAAAATGTCATTTTTGTCTAAATGACATTTGCTTAAGGGTGATAAATGAGTTTATTTAAGAACTTGGTTCCTAAAAACAAAATTTATGATTCCAACTTTTTAAAAATTTATTACATTTTAACTTTTACTCATGTATTAAAAAGTAATATAAAATTCAGTTGTAAATACTATTCTTTATTATGACAATCTTCACTTTAGTTACCAATTGTAACATTCTATATCTCTCTTTATGACAAATCTTCACTTTAATTACCAATTTGCTAAATTGTAACATTCTACATTCTTGTATCTGATATCTCTTTACTTCTCTGATTTATTTTTATTGTAATTTTTAAAAACTCGATTTCTAAAACCATACTTCTCTGATTTTTTTTATTGTACCTTTTAAAAATTCAATTTCTAAAGGATAGTATTATTTTCTAAACAAAATCGAATTAAAAATAGTAACATGAAATCAGAGATTTTAAGATAAATGTTTTTATTTGAAAGTGTTGCATTGATTTTTGGCAACAAAAATGGGGTGAGAAAAGTAACAGTCTCTAATATTTGAGGTTGCATAGAAGATCCTAAAAGTTTGGATTAAATACAAAACGGGAAATGGAGAAAGATCATCTATGTTTGGCTGTCAAATTTTTCACCAAGTCCAGAATCCTAAAGTAATCAAAGAACAAAGAGGATTCTTTTCCCTCCAGTCCATCCCTGCTGACCCTGTTGCTACCAGCCAGGTTATTACATGGACTGCCACCAACAACAAGATCAAAGCCTCCAAAAATGCTCATCAGCTGCTCCAAACGATCACCATCAAGCTCCCTTACATCGTCCATGTCATACAAATGACCTTTCTGATTTGTCTGTTCCCACCAACTTCTGACAATATTCCTATTCACTTCTGATTTTTCAACAGACACTACATTCTTGAGAGGGATGCCGAGCCGATGAAGAGCTACCTCTGCTCCACCAATTCCAGAAAAGAGAGAAAGAAGATTGATACCATCAGGATACATATCTTTCAGAACTGACAAATGGTATGCCACAGTGTCAACCTGAAATGAACCGAACCCATAAGGAAAGAGAAATTTACATAGAAACATAGATAGATGCATTAAACACTACTTTCACACAATCCATAATCCATTAGGAAGTTCCATAGAAAAGAAAACATGCTGAAACCGAAGTTAGCAAATATGTTATTTATATATAAATCCTTTTTAACACGTTCATTTTATTTTCTTGGTCTTCCTCTACCTGATGACTCTAGAAGTTGAAACATTGTTAGATAATTCCAAGGAGAATCATATTTCTTTATGATAGTAAATACATCCAGAAAGATCTTTGTCGAGTCATTATTTTAAAAGAATGAGAATTATCATACCTGGAATGAATTGCCAAGTGACTTGTATCTGTCAGTCCTACTTATTCCACCTCCCCTGGTGTGGTTCCTTGGGAAGCCTAACAGTGTTTCAACCTCATCAGGCTCAAGAGGAGCAACTTTATTCCTTCCAACCCAAACCAGATTCCATTTCCGACATTGATCAAGAACGTACTTTTGTACATGCTCAGGGGGGTCTTCAGCATGGTTTTCTACAGCTTTCCTAATTCTTTCAGTTAGTTTTGCACTGCCAATACATGTTTGCAGACAATTAAGTTTGGTCCTTGGGTCCCATGAGGGCCACCACTTCCTTGTTAGGGGGAAAGCCTCATGTATTGTACGCGGTGGAAGTGGTAGAAGTGGGAACCTATTTTGGATGGGGAGGTTGTGAATATAGCCCCTTTTCCTGGCTGCCGCACAGAAAAACTTTGAGTCCACAAATTCTGGCTCCACATCATACAAAAATCTAGAAATTGTTTGCCAAACACCTTTTGGTGCTAAGGCCACATTCTCATAATAGAAGTAAGGAGGGCCAATGGCATCTTCTGGAATCCTTCTGTGTGTTATGAAGCTTGACTCTGTAGGCACACCAAACCCAATCATTGGGTTTGGAAGATGGAGAGCTTCCTCATCATCTTCGTTGACGATTTTCTTCTCACACCCCCTAGGCTTTTTCCTTCCCAACACTTCACAATCATACAATCTTCGTTTATTGGATTTAGTATAATCATTGTATTGTAGCTGCAAAAATAATAACAAAATAACTTGTGACAAATAAATGAGGGGGGAGACAGCAACAGATTGATGATGTTACATAATTTTAAGCAAAAAATTCAAAATAATATATATGCATTGAATGTCTATCACAAAATACCAATATGCCAATATGCTACGTTGCTACCTTTTGTTCAGGCGGTAGAAGAGCATCTTCAGCCTTTGCTAGCTGAGCAACATCTATAAAATCTACCAATTCGTCAAGTGAAGAATTTCGACCTGTAACATTTAATTAGAAAAATGAGACAACAAAATAGACAGTGAAAAAGTTCATTTAACAAGACATTTTGTAAACTTGGGAACACAAGCAAACAAAGAGGCCATGAAAGGTTAACTTACTATTATTATTGTCGTCAACCAAGTTAATTTGATTAATATGATTTATGGCAGAATAGCAACATTCATCTTCTATTAGCTTATTTATACAGAGTTGAACAATCTTACAGTGGCCTTCTTTTTTTGCACAGCCCCCCTCCCACAGATCAGCCCATTTTAGCCATAAAGTGATACCTCCAATTGAGATTCCATGTCCAAGCCGGGAAGGAAACAATTAGACCTTGGTTAAGGGATCTTGTGCTAATAACTTTTGGTTATGATGGCCTTCTTTAGACATAATTATATATAACAAATGACCTATAGATGTTACTTCTCCATGTAAATCCTAATTATAGTGTTAGCAACTAAACAATCGCAATTTTTCTTGGTTTGACTAAAAGTGCAGTATATTCATAAGGTGACTGGATAAGAAGATTTTCTTTATCTATTAGATACAATAACGGTGGCTCCAAACTGATATGAATTTGTCCCCAACGTGGACATTGGAACAGGTAATCTCCAGGCAAAGGAACTATTATGCCTTGATGTTCTGTGTATTGTATTGAGTATACAATTATATAAAATGCGGATTGATATGCATTCAGCAGGTAGGACTCGACTGGGAGATTATAAAAGTTAGAGAATGAGGAAACTCCATCATGGATTAGAGTGATGGCGTGGTATTGGTTCATTAAAAAGATTCCTACTATAACTTCAAAACTATTAGGTCTTCTGGTTTGTTCTTGGACATGCACCCATGCTAGTAGATAATGATCTCTACAAAACTAAATGCAGTGTTGGATCTTTCAAGAAGGCTATGATTGTTCTTTATGAAACATGGTACTAAACTAAGGCATATTTTACGTAGTACTTAGATATAAAAATGTTCATTGGGTTTGAGTTCCATTCTCGTTAGGCTTTGATACCATGATGAAATGATCAGATCACAAGGGATGGTGCCACGTTGGTACCTGGTACCATGTCGAGAAGAGAAAAACTAAGGAATATAATGAATTTCGTGTCTTGGGGTAGACACAAGTATTCTTATTCATAAACAAGAGATACAATAATAATGAATAACATCAATACCAAATGATGGAAAATATTTGGTAAGATATTTCCCTATCAAATCATGTCTCTAACATAATTAACTCTTATCTCTAACAAAAATATCATCCAATCACGTTTAATGAACACAATGCAACATTGGGAATTACAATATGAAGTGTTCGTCCAGAAAAGCTTTAACAGGTTCGTTTTGGCAATGGCAATGACAATAACTTGTGCTAAGAGTGCATATAAAATATCCAACAACTGGCAACTAATATCAATAGTTAAACCTCATAGAAAACAAATATATTCTTTATTTGTCTAATGGCTGAACTGCAAAGGGACATAAATCCATGTCCTCAAAATCAATATAAGATAGCAAGTGAATCATACAAGCAACAAATATAAAGTACAATAATTCTCTCGTTTTTTGCAGAAATAACATGCCAATAACCCACACCAATATACAAAGGGAAGAAAAACACACCTAATCTTTCAATGGCAATTAAAGCCTCATCCAACTTGTACCCCATTTTCACCAAAGTCTGTAATGTATCATCGTTCTGAGAAATAGATTTTGCAATTTCCTGCAAAAATATAAAATGAGCAAGCTATATCTCATAATACAAAAACTGTTCCTATATTACATCCTAGCATAAGCAATTCCCCATAAATAAATATTTGTAAAATAAAGTGGAAGCAGGATGAAAATTCATTTTTAGTAGGAAAATGAAATTGTACAAGCCCCTGTGGAGCCACATGTTTGAAAATGGTTACATATCTAATTGCATGTCCTATAGAATTAGGAGAAACCATCCAAGTAGATGACACTTAAGGCAAAAATTAACAAGATACAAAAATGAATCAAATCATACAAACTCTAAAAAATAAATGTCAAAACATAGAGCAGAGATTACTTCATCATCAGAAAAAATATCAGTATCTGACAAATCATCCCAAGAGCTCCCTGCATTTTCTGAAGAAGAAGGATCCCGCTCAATACGCTGTTGTGGCTGGGGAGAACTTTCTAGAGCCTGCAAATATGAAAACAAAATTCACCAAGATAACTGTAACATGAACAGCCAACATATTATAGTATGCAAATGGTATATTAAAGATGTAAGGAATAAATCTATAAGAAATCAGTAAAGCAAAAAACAAAACAAAGTATAAGAGGTGAAGGGTGAAAAAAAGGAGCAATTATATGCACAAGAAAACCACAGACCACACATGGAAGTTGGTAAATATCATTGTCATTATAGGGTGGTCCAGCTGCTCATTTAATCCCATCCAATCTTTTGCAACTCTTGCCAAGACAAAATTAGGAGAAAAAAAATTGCAACCATTTCAGAGTTTCTTGGCCAGTTCCAAGAGAAACTTGTATTAAAAGGAAGAAATAAATTCTTGACAAAAGGTTAACTCGTTCATACAAGACCCAAAATTTCCTATAACAAACGCCCCTCCTTAAGAAGCCAGCACCTGGCGGCTTGGAAAATTCGGAACTCGCCCAATGGTAGAAGTAGGTTCCCCCTAGGTTCGAACTCGAAACATCAGTTCGTTGCAAGGTTCTGATACCATTGTTACGAAAAGGTTAACCTGTTCATACAAGACTCAGAATTCCCTATAACACAAAATATCCTATTAAGAGAGAAAGGAAAATAAATGGGAGGATAGAGGTTATTAATACTATAAAACTCTTTAATCTTCAATTATTTTATAAACAATGGGATGCGCACACTAAGCCAACAAAGAAAGATGAATAACTTTTAATAAAAGCTTACTCCGATATTTAATAACTAAAGTTTTAATATAACTTTTTCTCCACGTATACGTTCTAGATAAATAATTGGAACGAATCAGAACAGGCAGATGAAATCAAATTCAAAATGTTATGCATAATTTGTTTAGCAAGCATTGACCACCAAGTTTGAAAATATATAGCCATCAGTTTATTGGTTAAATTTCATACAAGTGCAGCATAATTGAAGTTGCTAATCTTCTTTATAATAGGGTACTCAGTAATTTTATTTCATTCCAAGAACCAAAATATCATCGAAAAATGATTGCAATGACATGTCTGCTACAAATGTGGAATTCGAGTTAGGATTCCATAGTTATCAATCTGAAATAGCTATGTGTAGCAGCCAATTCAGAAAGTACTACGGAAGGATACCAGAAATTGGGACAAAAGATATTTTAAATGTTAGAATACAAACTAAATAGCATATACTACACATGAAAATACTCTAAAAACAAAAGAAAATACACAATAAAAGAAATTCAAGATGAATATAAGTCACAGCTTACACACACAATCATCATCAATCTAGAAGCATTAAAAACATTGTAATGATGTAAAAGAAAAAAGAAGAAAGATGATGGTCATATTAGAAGAAAAAGTATATAGCAAATTACATAAAAATTAGAAAAATGGAATCAGGGAAATTTAAAAGACAGAACACTTGAATAAAATTCTTATAAAATGTGAAGAGTCACAGTTCAAAACAGATGAAGGTCTGGGATACTTTACACAAAAGTAACCCAAACAACCATGTTCCTGGAATAAAAATGGGGTTTTGAAGGATTTATAGAGGTAGCACCACTATAATGACAGCACGAGAAAATCCACAATTTTGGCCACTATGTAAAACCACTTGCTATTTGAACCCAACAGCAGTTCATAGTCTTTCCATTAAACTACACTTCATTCTACACACTATTGACTGCTATGGGTACATGGATGCAACCTTAAACTTACACAAAGAAACAGTTTTCAGCATTAGAATTTGTCACCTCCAAGTCACTAGACAGAAAACTTACCATCATTAACTACCAAATGAAAACCAGCAATGATTAACAATTCATTTATGTATATTGTAAAATGCTAAAAACTCTTCGAGGCTTACCATTATTAACTACAAATGAAAACCAGCAATGATTCACAATTCATTTGTTTGCAAGATGCTAACAACTCCACAATATGGAAATGTAACTATTAATTTAGTAAATGCAAGGTGGGACGACTACAGTAGAGAAATTGCTTAAAACTCAATAATAGCTCAAGGACTTGTTAAAATATCAACTCACCTTGTATGACAGAAGTTCTTCAAGTAGTTTATCTTCGCTTTCCTCACCTAGAAGTTCATCTGGCAATATTATTTGTGAACTTTATGAATCAAGTCTATGTTCAAATAGAGTGAAGCAATGTTTTTACCATATTCCTGAATTACTTTAGAAACCATTTCTCTAGAAAATCCCATGCCAATGAAGTGGTTGAATACCTTGGAATTATCCGAAACTGCAGACGAGCTTGCCTTGAGGGGTAGAGAATGTACATTAGTAGATAAAAACTCTATTTCATTTGCGCAATGTTATTTCTTCATAAATGTTCACAAGAATGTATTTTTTTTCATTGGGTTTAAAATATGCTTAATAGAATGGGTAATTGGAAAAACCATAAAGTTAGCAAAGAAAATGAATAGAATCTGATAAGCACCCAAGCACTTTGGAAACCCTCCCTAAAGACCTAGCTGTCAAAGGAGGAGAACTGAACAGTTAAAACACTTCATAAAAAATTTCAAACCACTCTGCAATGGACTAAGCACCCCATAATACCCAAGTCCCTATCAGAATCCCTTTAACGATAGCAGTCAGAGATCTCATAAAAAATAGAAAATGCAAATAATCTTACATATTTTGTGTGTGCAATAAAATAGAGGAAGTGACACTACCAAAAGAAAGGTAACAGCTTGTGAGTATTTGAGAGTAAAGTTATAAACCTTCAAATTATCATATTCCACATGCCGCAGTTGCCTTAAACTATACAACCAGATACACTAAGGTTACCCAAATCAAGGAGGGAATGCAAAATCAGTAAATAAACCCACATAACAGCAATAGAAAAGAAGAAACTGATTAATGAAGAGCTAGCTACGATGAAATGAGAAACATAAACAGTAATGACAGCCTTTTCCAACTAAGTCCATGTTCACTTGAATAGATTTGAGGGAGAGTGATTGAATGAATTTGAGAGGATTTGAAGGTAAATTTTTTGTTGTTTATTTGAGTGGATTTTGGAGGTAAGTGAGAGTGGATTTGGAAGTAAAGTTTGTGAGAATTAGTGTAGAATTTGATTGATGTAACAGATTAAAAAAATTTACTTCCAAATCCACTTTCACCTATCTCCAAAATCCACTCAAATAAACAACAAAAAACTTACTTTCAAATCCTCTCAAATTCATTCAATCACTCTCCCCCAAATCCATTCAAGTGAACAAGGACTAAGTGAGGTTGCTTCAATAGATCAAAAGACACAATGTTCTATTGTGAAAAAGTGAAAAATTAATACATGTATGAATTCCACAAAACCTAAGCTGTAAAATAGATATTATACATGAAAAAAAAAATTATACGATTTCTGAAGAATTTTTTCCCCATTGACCTGCGAGATCAGCTTATGATTTTGGTTTATCATATCAACAACATCTGCAATGAGAAAAGTCTGAAAAAGCTTACCTCTCCAGACCCAGTAACAGCCTCTCCATTAGGAACAGTTAAACATGAAGATGAAGACTGATAGTTCTCAATTTCAAGCTCATCTTCAGTGTTCCAGTCAAAATTATCACTCTCCACAGCGGAATCATCTCCGCCCTGCAATAATTGTTCAGAAAGAGCAGCAAAAGCTAAGAAGCAAGAAAAAGTAAGAAAGAAAGGTTTTTCAGAGCTACATATGCTCCAGAAAAAAAAAACTAAAAGTGTAGTAGTTAATGACAAGTAAAATGTACCATCTTCAATCTCTCAGCTTGGCAGAATACAGGTATTTTAGCTGCCCAAGCACAGAAGTAACAGAATTAGTGTGAATGAATAACTCTTTATCAGTTGTATTTGTTAGTTTGTTATTTACAGCTGTGTGTCAGAATTGACCAATTAGAAGTGCAGCTGTAGCTTATACATAGTTGCTGAAAACAGAAGTCATCAATTGCACAAAATTCAGTATAATCAATACAGAATTTTCCTTTCTTTATACCTTTTTGTTTTTCTCTTAATAATTAGTATCACACAAACCTAATCACATTTAGGAATACCAGTCAAACCAAACAATTTACCACGATTCATGAACTCAATTCACAGAAAAACCAATTGAACTGGACTAGTGTTCAAGACATAGAAATCTTCAGCATGCCACCACAAGGCAGTAGTAGTCAATCGAAAGAGCTTAAAACAGTGGGAGGAAAACTAGGATTCACCCAAAAAACTCCTAACAACGAATTCTAAGAGGTAGCATTACTAGCCATTGCAAAAATAAAAGGACCATTAACTATAACCAAGAACAACACTATACACTAATTACAACATCATATAACCCATGTAGCCAACCTTACCCAGTAGTCAAATCACTTTGAAACTCGTAGTAGTGATAATGATCTTACCCACCTCAAATAAAATTGACTTCAGTGGAAGATTCGTGTGGTCGATGAGAATACCCACCTTTAATGGTATTAGAAGGTGCATATTGGTACCATAAAATCCCCAAAAACAATACCACAAAAGAAAAACATAAAAAAATACAGCTCTGGAAAAACAGGAAACAAATTTCACATGCAAAACAGAAATTTTTCGAAGGAATAAAAAAACTCTTCTTGACTAACTAACCAAACACACCCACTCAAAAAAAAATGCCAAACCCTAGAAAACAAGTTTCATCATTGATGCAAAAACAAGACATAGTTGCAGAATCACTACCGGTCGGAGAATGCAGAACCCAGAATGCACTTCCACAGGTTCAGCTCTGCACAAAACAAACAAACAAAAAAAAAATTATTCAAAACAGATTCAACTCAAAACTCGTATCTTACACAAAATCAATCAAAGAGAAAGGAAAAGAAAAATGAGAGATTTCAAAACCTTTCTTCTTGCAAGAAAGAAGAAAAGCTAGCGGTACTGATGCATGCAAGGAGAGAACAAAGACACGGAATGGAAAAAAGAGCGTCTTGAAGAACACAGACTGGTCAGGATTCTGAATGAGACTTACAATTCTAAATTATCATGATGAAGAATGCAAAACCACCAACATGGAAAGGCGTTTCCCCACTCGCACATTTTCATACTATCTTCCACTCTCTTGTCATCAGGAATCAAACGGTAGAGGACACAAAAGTCTCTTAAAAGGAACTACACGTGTCCTCGTTTAAACCGTTTGATTGCTGTACCAATTCTAATATTAGTGTGACTTTTTACATTTTTTCATCAAGTGACGTATGAAAGAATAATGACATATAATCTATTCGCGAGTATGATTTCTCATCTACTCGAGAGAGTATGTAAGTGAAAAAGAAGAATATCTTCTTTTTCGCTTATTTGTAAAGTTTTAAATATTTATTAATTGTAATATGAATTTTGTAATGTAATATTTTATTATTAAAATAAAATTTAAAATTTTGATATAAAGTTTTATATAAATTTAGATTTAAATATTATGAAATAAAATTAAAGTTTTAAAATGTTCACTATTTAATATTTACTTTTTATGAAAATTCTTAGTTATTTTGTATGTATATTTATGTTTATTTATATTCTAAAATTTACGTATATTAAATCATATTATGAACTCATAACTTTAATAAATTAATATTTAATATTTAACATAAATCTTGCTTTTGCATTTCATTAATACTTATATGTTTTGTTAATTTACATTTATGAATCATAAGTGTTAGTTGTTACTTTTATATCAAGAATTATAAACAAAAAAACATTATTTTAACATAGAGTAAAAATATAGTAATACTTATTTTGATTGTTAATTTATTTAATGAGTTTGAAGTAGATTTATTTAATGTTTACTTGTATTTAAAGTTATAATAAGTATAAAGTTATAATAAGTATAGTTATTATTCAAACACCATATTTATTTTCTTGTATTGTTTAAATTATACTCTTCCAGTCACTTTATTTTATAATAAATTTCATTTATTGTCAATAATAGGTTTTTATTCTTCATGTTTTTTGGTTTTAGCTGTCACTTGTTTTTAAACTATTTATTTATTTTACCTAATCCAAAAAACATAATTAGAACTGTGATCCAATAAAACTTTTCATGAAATAATTCAAACTTATATCAATTATTCATAATTTATTTAATCTTATAAATATAATAATAATAAATATAATAATAACTCTTAGTGATTTCAGTATCAAAAAATCTTTGCAGGTAAATCTCCCTCATTCGTTAAGAGATTATCTCCAAATAGAAAAGTGATCAAAAGCACAATGAATATTTTGTTATCATCTGTCCACAAAGTTCACCTCAAATTTTGGATAAAACCAACCTTTTTTCTTTTTCATTTCTCTTAACATGGTTATAAATTTGTAATACATTATTTGTTATTTTACAATGAATGTATCAAAAAATATTACACTTTGGTTTATTTTACAATTCAATATACATATTATTTTATTATTGAATAATATGTTTTGGCCACTAATAAAGAATTTTGAGGAGAAGAATATTTTTTTTTTATTGAAGAAAAGCGAAAATAGATAATGTTGAGAAGAAGAAAGAAAAAAGAGTGTGAGTAAAAGGAACTCTTTCTAATACAACTATCACCCCTCATATATTTTCTATTATTTAAAATTGTTTAAACATTGATAAGGTTCTTTAATTTATTGGTTTGATTCATTAGGGATTTTCTTATTATTTTTGGATTTAATTTAGTATTTTAATATTTTTTTTAAATATTCAATCTATTCATTTTTAATAAGTTGACATCAACCTCATGTCCATATATGTCATGAATCAAATTTATAATATTTTTAAATTTTAATTTAAAAAAATATATAGGTCATGTCATGGTCATATCATGATTTCACATATGTTTGAATTTTCTTAATTTAAAAAGTTAAAAATAAAGAAATAATTAAAAATAATTAAGAATTTTATGAATTGACAAGTTAGATCCGATGTTAATATCAATTTAATAAAGATAATTAAATTGAACTTTTAAAAAAAATTGTTCCAAAATAATAAAAAGATCAAAAGGAACCAAACTAAGAGAAGACCAAATTTCTAATTAAGTCTTTTAAAATTAAACTATATAAGTGTACATTTATCATCATTCTAGATAATATAAATGATTTAATATTTATTTTTATTTAATATATATTAATTATATTGACATCTTAATAGTGAAATTGGTGAAAATAAGGACATGAATAAAAGTATATAATTTATTAAAGAAACAAATTGAAAAAATAATAATATTAGGTTTTTTAAGTAAAAATGTGTAATAGTAGGAACTTGAATGTTTATTTAGTATTTTTTTTCATTTAATATCAAAAATACTAACTTTCTTTATATACCATTGTAATGTCTCTAAAATAGAATGTATGAAATTTTTATTTTTTTTTAATTTTAGGTGTTCATATAATATTATTACATGTCATTTTAGTCACACTTGGATATCATGTTATCTTATTTAAAGTTTAATAAATTATTAATGCTACAAATACTTTTTTATGTTATATATTTTTACTTAATTATATATTTAAAATATAGAGTTTTTAAAAGAAATATATAATAAAAAATAGGGTTAAATATGTTTTTAGTCTCTAAACTAATAAATGAATTTGTTTTTAGTCCATCTTTAAAACTAAGGGTCATTTTAGTACTCGTCCTTCAGGAAAGCTTAATTTTTCGTCTTCCAAAATTAACAGTGTTAAAAAGAATATGAGGTGGCTAACGTCTGGCCACGTGTGATGATATATGTCCTTCCTAACTTTCGCCACGTTAGTATCTGTTAATTCAAAGTGAAAACATTACTTTATTAGGTTGATTGGTAAAGTTTGGATGAAAGTGTGGTTTGAAGGGTGAAGAGCAAGGATGAGGTCATCATTTTAGCTAGAAAGAAGGTTGAAGAGCAAAAGGTTGGATTTCATCTTCTTCAGCATTAGTGAAGTTGGTGACGTAAGTTCATTCTTCTCTTTCATCTGAATAAATGGATGGATTTGGGATATAGGGTTTTGTTGGGACTAAAGGGATCTTTGTTGATTTACATTCGGAATCACTGTTGAAAGGAAATGAAAGCTGATAGTGGAGGAATTGGTTGCATGCGAAGGACCATTGATTCAGGAATGTCCTAAACATGTGGGTCCTCTTCTCACTTACCTTTAAAGATCTGTGGTTGTAGGAAAAGATTGTTGTTGTTGAAGGAAACTAGATTGAAGAACAAAGGAAGACTATTTTATAGATGTAGAAATTGGACAGTAAGTGAGAAAAAATGGTTGCTTATTCTGCTTTGTGTTTGTATTCCTGATTTGTAATTTCTTTTGTAGAGTAATTCAAGCTATAATTACTTTGAATGGGTTGATGAAGGAGATTATGAAACTGAATAAAGCTTACCAAGGAAGAATGAAGAAGTTGAAATTTGTATGGAAAAGGTTGTATTGGATATGAGGAAGAAGAAGGAGAAGTTGAAGAGAAAATTAGAGCAAGAGAGAAAAAATTTCAAAATGAATTTGGTCTTCTTTGTATTGGTATGGGCATTAACATTAATGTTTTATATTATGTTTGTGTTGAAGATAAATTGTAATTAGATTGGTAATGTTGTGATGTAACAAAAGTTTGAAGTGTTAAATTGAATAAAATATGGAAGTTCGTTTGAATTATGGTCTGATGTTTGTGTTTTGTGCATTTGTTGTATCACTAAAAGTTTGATGTTTATGTTAGTTGTTGTATCACTAAAGATGCAAATGAATGGCATAATAGTTACCCTTCTCAAGAACAAGCACCTTGAAGCCTGAACTTGCTAGAATAGCAGCTACAACTCCTTCCCCGCAACCAAACCCAACAATTACCACATCACACTTTATTCCAAGGACATTGTTTTCAGAATCCATAGAATCCTTCAAGACCTTTCTTAGCAAGAGACTTAGGCAGAATCCAATCACTATCATACGTAGCTTCCACTATTCCCTTTTCACGAGGCCTCTCTTTCTGAACCTTGTTGTGATCCCATCAGTGTCAACCTTATATCCTATAACTTCGCATGCTGGATTTTCACCCTTCTCATCACACTGCACAAAAGGGAATATTCCATTACTCACACAATTAGTAACAAGGAGGGAAGAAATATGATGAGGCTTAATTACCTACTTAGTCCCCATGTTCGGAGGTAATTTGCTGTTTAGTACCCGGTTTTAAAAATGTAGGCATTTGATACCTATGTTTTGAAATTTGTATCAATTGAATCCTACCCACTTAACGCCGTTATAAATCTAACGTTTTTCTGACTGTGTATGTGATTTGTGGACGAGCGTTTGTGGACGAGCGACGAGGACGCTCGTCCAGCGAAGAGGACGCTCGTCCAGCGAGGCAGAAGAGGACGCTCGTCCAGCGAAGCGAACGCCCAGTCAGGCAGAAGAGGACGCTCGTCCAGCGAAGCGAACGCCCAGTCAGGCAGAAGAGGACGCTCGTCCAACGAAGCGAACGCTCGTCCATAACCGCTCGTCCACAAATCACATACACAGTCAGAAAAAACGTTAGATTTATAACGGCGTTAAGTGGGTAGGATTCAATTGATACAAATTTCAAAACATAAAATGCCTACATTTTTAAAACCGGGTACTAAACAGCAAATTACCTCTGAACATGGGGACTAAGTAGGTAATTAAGCCAATATGATGATGAATGAAATGTTTGTGGATGGATCTCGAGATCTGTTGAAGGCTCAATGGATGTCTCATATCCGTTGCAGCCTTTTGCGTTTTTCTTCTTCATTTAACACAGAGCGCATATATAATCACCAACTTGAATCGGAGACAACAACAAAGGAAGCAACAAACTCTACAACACTACGAACCCATGAATCAAGCAGCAGCAGCACGAACTCACCACCAACCAAGCACTAGCACGAGCCAAGAAAAGAAGAAGAGAATCTTGACGAAAATGAGAAATCGGGGAAAGAGGAAGAGGAGAATAAGAGAGGAAGAGAAAAAGTAAGAATGTGGGGGTGGGGGTGTGGTGTGTTGTTGAGTGAATAAGAGAATAA